GAACATTCATCTCATGCCCCTTTCATACCTCTGTGCCCAAAATCATTAACTGCCGATGGTGGTGATTTCCAGCTTAGATGAAATAACTTTAGGGTTTTACAGGGGAAAGAAAGTAATAACCCTCGAGAGTAGTGGTAGGATGTGAGAGCTGTTCATATGACCAGCCTGTGATTGAAGTGAGCAGCCGAGAGATGATAAAGAGGCGAGTAACCACTTCTTTTTTCAGATATGGCCGATCATTTTCATTAGCAAATATTTTTGACATTATTTAATTTAATTTTGTCCATAAAACATGAAACAAAAGGAAATTATACAAAACTAAAAAGAAATCAGAAACAGCCCAGTTTCTGTTGTCCACCCTTAAAACAATGTCTATATTAAGTATATTTATATTTTAAAATACTGCTTGAACTGTGTTCATCTTTTAGCATAATAATGTATCGTCATGTGGAAAGAGCTGAAACGGTTCTAAAGTATCAGTATCCACCAGTAAATGTATTTACCAAACTTTACAAGAGCTACAGCAGCGAAACCCCACGTAAGAATGACTTCTTGTTCTCTGGGTTAAGTCCGGGGCTCTAAAAGAAACACAAAAATTATGTGCAATTTGCCCTGTTAGGGTTTTGGGTTGCAGAAAGTAGGAATGGGTCATGTGAATGATTTCATGGGTAACAGTAGGTGAATGGAAGGCAGGAAGTGCGCCGGCCGCGGGTGGAACCCTGTGTATATGTGGAGGTTTTTGGCAGCCTCCAGCGCAATCTGTCACGCTTGCTTTGGACTCATAAAAACGTACCTGAGACAGAGTTTGGGTTTCTGCTGGATCTCACTGCGGACCTAAATGCTCGTGAGCTGTTTCAGAGCAAACCTCCCAGCAAGCCTATACAGCCGTAGCATGAAAGTGCTACGCCTCAAACATGCCGTCATACTTCAGGCTGAGAGCCCAACTTAAATGAAGAACTAAAACTTAATGCTCATCAAGAAATACCTGCATAGCCCCTTGTTTCAGGTCCAAATTGTGATTACATTATTTTAACGTTTTAGTTTCAAAGATTCTGGAAAAAAAAGATTGATGATTGAAGTGCCTTGAGTTTGATGAAAATTGGAAGCCAGTTAGCTTAGCTTGGCATAAACACTATAAATGGGGCAAGGGTTTTAGGCAACAACTTCTCCCTAGTTCTGTAAAGCCAACTCTGGAACATATTATATATATTTTGTTTAATGTAAAAACAACAATTACATTTTTAAACAAAGCCATGTTTTTCTAGATATTTTGCAAAAGGGCAGCTTAAACGACATTGTGACAAGCTAGTAAGCTAATGGTAGCCATGTGTAAGAAAGCTACAGAGCTAAGCTACCTGGTTAAAATGCTTACTGCGCATAACGCTAAGCGTGTCACAAACAGTTTTCCCATTCTTCCCGTCAATGCATCACTTAATTAACACCTAGTTAATGGAGAGCAAAACTTGCACATTAGTTCAACTTATGAATGCAAATAATACTGGGATCCCTTTGTGATTACAAACACATTTGGTGTGGAACACAGAATTATCATCAGTTTTACTGGCACAATATATGTTGATGTATATAAAGTATATCTTCGGTTCATATATAAAAGCTTTGTATTATCCCTCCGCCTTGTAGAAAACATGACACAACGATGCTTATTAACTTTCTTTTTGTTCTATGATTCTTGCAGAGGCTTCTTCAGTAATGTTCATTTGGACTCGTGGCTTAGAGCCATCTTCTGTTTGATGTCAGAAGTGGGAACTGCAGATTTATTTAGCCTCATATGTATTCTGTGGTTGAAGTCGTAAATAACATTGGTTTTGTCGTGCTAAGGGAGTGGCAGAATGGGGTTTCAATTCCTCTGTTTAAAAAAAACACGTAGTACAGTGAACCTGGTATCAATATTTTCACAATGATCTCTTTCTCCTCGGCTGGGTCACTACGGGTTCGACTGGATTGACAGAAGAAACGTTAGATGAGTTGGAGCATTACATGATTTGTGGGGAAAGAAGAAGCCATAGAAGGCATTCCAGCATGTGTCAAAACACAGTTATCATTTGGATGGATGTGTTTGAATGCGTCTTCTCTTTGAGAGCGGGAGAAAGACACAATATGCAAAAAATAAAAAACACATCCAAGAACATATCACAGTGCACACGAAACATTAGCAGTGCCAAATAAGGACCAACACTTAAAACATTTTTGTTTGATTTACTCTTTTAGTGGCACTTAAAAACATCGCAAACACTGAGTGCCAAAGCCCGGCGAGGCAAATGTTTTTACCCACAACCCTCTTCCAAATTATTTTTTTAACAACAATTCTGCCGTAAAATCTCTCTCCATATATATATATATTATTTCTTCTACTCTCAGAAATAAGATTCATATGAATGAATGTTTTCTTTAAGAATGGCTGAAACCTGTGGTCGTTCGACAGATTGATGTAAAGTGCGCTAGACATTATGCCGGTAGTGTAGGACGAGAGTTGGACTGCTCTGCTCCAGACACTGTGAATTGTGGCCTCCTTCCTGACATACCTGTGGCCTGAACCTCCAAACCTTTCCATAGACACACACACGCAAGCTAATCTCCAAAGATCAGCACCAAAAAAGCCTTTTCCTTTTGCACGCCCAATCATACGCTTATTCCATGATGTGTACTCTTTTGGCCACCGTTTAATCTTGTTGTCTTCAATCAGCGTGCATTTCCAAATTAGCCACCATCAAAACGATCAACACGAATGTGTCATAGAAAACCTTTTCAGCGACTGTAATAATCTGCTGACTAACTGGCCAGTGATCAAAGATGGCCGCATGCCTTGGTGTTATTTTTCTGTTATTGTTAGCGCTTTGTCAATAGTTATAAAGTCAATAGTCCTAGAGTCAAGCCCGCTCACAACAGGCTGGAGAAATAATCTGTGCAGGTTCAAACTTCTTTACTTTTGGCAAGTTGGCTTTTCCTTCCTGTCAGTGCTGTGATCAAGTTTGGCGAAGGCAGAGGGAGTAAATGTGACCGAGTTAAAGTGTGTGTCAGTTTCCTGTAAACACATCCAGACTGTATATCCTACAGAAATATATGGTATGAGGTTTTGTCTGATGCAGTCTAGAATGGATTTTTTTTTCTTTTTAATGAAAACCTGCAACATCTTTTTATTTTAATCCAATGAAAGGTTGATTGGTTTTGATCTATTTGAATTTATATGTTAAATGTATTTTAACCAGTTGTCCACCAACCAACCAACTGACTCTGAACAGAGAGGCGACCTACGTTGGAACAAATAAGAAAATATATTTTAGACACAGATTTAAACTAAACACACTGTATTTTTGAAACAGACAAATATTGGGTTTCTCCTTCACGTGTCATATAAAGCGAGTCCCGTCTGCAGATGAACAATCGCTGGTCTGACAAGCGGGAACGGGCGCAGAGCGCTGCTGCGATCGATGGGGTGTCGCTGTAAACCATCTGATCAGCACTTAATCTTACTTCCATCCACCCAGGCTTCAGGGGGATGAGTGGGGTTTGGCTCAGCCAGCATCCCTCTCTGCTGCCCATCTCCCAGCTCGACAATATTTGTCCAGTTTGCTGTGCAGTGTCTTATTAGGCGATGCGGTAGGTCGCTCCGATTGAGCCGTGCTGTTACCCGGTCCCTGCTTGTGATATTTAAGACTCGGCTTTGATCTCTCCTTTGAGAAATTGAATTCGCCCAAGGAGATTTTCCCGTAAACGGGACGGTAAAGAGTCTACAGAGTCACGTGTCTACACTTAGAGACTGTCTTGTTACTGGCTCCTTTGTCTTCCGCAGGCAACTGGAGCCGAGGCCAGAGCCACTGTGGTTTTTGGGGGCTGTCATCGTCTGTCTCAACACAATTGTTCAGGAAGCCAGCCCTGATCAGAATTAATGCAATATTCACATTCACAACCAATTAGTATTCAAATATCGAGAGGAGAGCCAGAGTTTCTGTGAATGACAGATTGTTGATTTGGACATTTTTACCATGAATTATTGGATATCCTCCTAATATATCCATCCCGGTAGCTTCGTTTTGAGCTCGTATTCGGGCAGCTGAGTCTGTTCCCTCCAGTCCATCCTGTCCTTGTCGTCGTCAGGACACATGAGGGAGGATATTCCGGTCTAAAAGAATTCTGCTTTTCTGTTCTGAACGACTGAACGACTATGCTAGCGTGTTGCAATGAGGTTGTAGCACAAACTAACAATAGTGCTGACCTAATAATAAAATTGGGTTAGGGTTAGCCTCCCTGTAGTCTGCTAACCCTAAATCACATTGTTATCGTTGCACCTCAGACAAACAAAGGCCGTTGCACGTATCTCGCAAAAAAAATAAAAATAATATGATGGACGCTTGGTGGTTATTTTTGCTGTTGTTTTAGCATGTCTGTATGAGAGAGATGATACTCATGTCAGTGTTAGCTAGCAACTCAGTGTCTCGTTTTCTTTTTTAGCTTCTGGCTTCACTAAGGAAAAAAGCACCACCGTGTGCACATTTTCTGAACTAATTTGCAGTATTGGAGTATTTTCAAATGGATAAGTGGATATTATAGCTAAGACTCTAACGTTTTGAACGATCTAAGGCGTTCATATATTTGTTAGTGATGAGTAGACAATATTCCTGTTGGAACTCGGTTCGGCTTAGTTCAAAACCCAAATAGGAGATGCAACAGGTACACGGGGGGGGGTGCAGGTGATTGGATTGGACACAGGGAGAAACAAACAACAAATTAGTGACGGAGGCCGAGAAAACACACCACGGCAAGAAGTGAAGCCAACACAGACACACAAGGGAATAAAACAGGAAAAAAACGACGAACGAACTTATTGGATTGCCGAAAGTTACAATAATTGATGGGCAAAGCACCACTTAAATCGGGATATAAAAATGTACACACACATAGAAAGTTCTTTTAACTCCTGTGTGACTCTTGCTGCGTTACCTTCCGTCTTATTAATCACCTTGTCTGTGTTTGTCCTGCAGCTAGCTATGGAGGCTACCCCATCTGTAAAGGCTGCTCGGTGTGCTCCAGGGACAACGGCTGTGTGAACTGCCAACCCAAGCTCTTCCTGTTTTTGCGGAGAGAGAGGATGAGGCAATACGGGGAGTGCCTGCTCGACTGTCCGGCCGGATACTACGGCATGCGCACCCTTGAAATCAACATGTGCTCCAGTAAGTACCCACCCCCCCCTGCCTCACCCCCTATCCCCGTATCTCCCACCCTGCTGACTTTCCCCTCCTTCCCCCCAAAACCTCACCATCCCCAGTCACGAAACACACACACACCACCCCTCCTTGTTGGGATTCAACGTGGCCCCCCTCTTTTCCCACAAACACATGAAATATTGTCAGTTCACCCCAGACAAGACGCAACCTACCTCTGAAAATTGGACGGCTCTCACACAGGTGGATGTGAGCAGGGAAGCATCGTCTAAGCAGCGTCTCCCTTGGGACTCGACCGCGAAGTCCTGCTCAGATGTTCTCATCTCGTTTTAACAATCCCGTTACAGCTACAATACAAAAAACACCCTACCCGGTCACGAGGATGTTTGATAGCTTGAAATCCATGTGCAAAAATGCAGGTTAAGAAGCATTGACGACTCGGCCAAACCCACCACAGAGACTTCTATAAAACCGGGCCCTTTTTGCCATGTCATTCAATATCCTCCAAACCAAAAGGCTGATTATATATTTGCATTTGGGCATGAAACTAACTTCTTCTGGCTTGTAGGTTGAGATTTTCACCAGACAGTGTAAGTCCTTGGCAGCGAAGAACGCTTTTTGACTTTGAACAGGAAGCCAGTCCCAATTGAAGAGTCCAGATCCTTGACCGAGAACAGTGTGTTCATTGAAGTTTGATAAGAGGAAAACAAAGCATTTAAAAGCGGGAAAGCATTCATCTTTAGGATTAGTAGTGTATCCGCGAGGAAGAATAACATAGCCTCATTCCAAGCTTGGCTCCCTTTGCGTTATTGTTTCAGCTATAAAAACATTGTTAGATATTTAGCGAATAATCTCATAATAGTCCCATTATTACACATATTACTCTTGCGGCTTGCAGTAAAATAAATAAATGTTTTTTCTGTTGGTTTAATAACTCGAGACAGACCACGCCTTCAGTCTCACACACTCTCTAAATCATCTTTTACTGGTTGAAAAAAGATAAACTCTCAACAATAACAGCGAGACTTTGACGTGCTCTCATGATTCTCGTGAAAGACTAACTGTAAAATTAAATTAATGAAATGTCTCCCTCTCCTCTTGTAGCACCTCGATCTCCTTGTTTTAACGTGGAATATGCTGGGAGAGAGAGAGGGAGCCTTTGTAGCTTTACACGGAGCCCGAGGTGTTGGCTGAGTGTTTCATATAAAAAAAGAGAGAGGAACTTGAACTCATTTGATTCTCTGAGCCAAACTCCTGACAGACGCAAGCCCCAAAGGAGAGCGTCCGGACCTTCAGGCCCTATAATGTGACCATGTAGCAACCGCAGGAAGAAGAAAAAAAAAAACTCTGTTCGCCCAATAGCTCTCAACCAAGATGCAAGTACGTCTGCTGGCTCCATTTGATTATGAAAATGAAAAGCACGTTAAAGCCGCTTCGGCTAACTGAGGGGGTAGGGAGCTCGGATAGTTTAGAAAATGTTGTCTTCAGTACCCCAAAAAAATGGGCAATTTGAAATCAGAGCGTGTTCACATTCAACCGGGCAGGAACAGGTAGCAGTGGAAGATGCATCTAACGAGGGCGTATATCTTCTTTGTGTGTTAAGTTGCCGTTAGCCAGCAGTTTTGAGAATGTTAATCTGAATCCCTCTCCGTGCAAACTGCTCATAGAGCCACATATTGGATTGTCACGTAACATCAGATCTATGAGCGAGACCTACTTTGATGTGATCGCTGCCTCGGTCATGGCCCTCTAATCCAGTTCCCCATTTGACCCTCGTTCTCAGCTGTGCTCCTCATGTCGTTTTCACTAAACGGTCCATGTGAGCGGGTATTTTATTGGTGTTGAAGCTAATTGTTGGGTCAGTAAATATTATTTGTGAGTTGCCGCGAGAGCTCAAAGGCAGGCTGGACAAAACACGGCGAGGGGTTCTCCTCCAACGCGGTCGGAGCTGGCGAGCGCTCCTGGTTTCCAAAAGAGAGCCCTGGAACGTGGCATTACGTCTGTGTTTTCATGATCTTTTCAAACACAAGCTCCGAATTCACTCACAGGGAGCAGCTGCTTGTTATTACACCAGAGTTTGTCTGTGTGATCTTATCTCATTGTGGATTTTTTTCTTTCATGGACTGCCTGGGTGAAAGAAAACAAGAGCGTGGAAAGCAAAAGGCTTGTGCGCTCAGCCACTCGCTGGCTTGAATCTCACTCTCAGTTTTTCTGAATGGCCTCTGCAGCCGTGTGACAGAGAGAGGCATGGTTGGACAGAAGAGACATATACACTATGCAATATGACAAGGCAAGCAGAGGGTAGTGTGACCGATAAGGGTCTGCGCAATACTGCTAATTAGTCTGTGCACCTCAGCCTCCAGCCTCAGAGTCCACGAATGATCTTGCACTCTGCTACAGCAAACTGCACAACCTCTTTGGGTGGCCAGTTATGGCTGCAGGCTGATGGACCGATTGAGTCGCACTTTCTTACAACGCCATACACTGCCATGGACGTCCTGCTGACTCCTCACTCGCTCCTGACCAGTAGGAGCCGCTAGTGATAACCGAGCCGAATGAATCACCAAACCTCCAACAGCTGCTCTGAGCCCAGAGCCGAGGGGGTTGCAGTTAGCAATGCGTTTGGTAACCAACTAACAGAATGGACGCTTTGTTTGGCTACAACCTCATCAGCTGTGTAATGTTGTTCAGCATGGGTGTGAGTAAAATGTCATATCAGACTCTATTATAAGTCGACATTATGGCCCGGCTCAGCATGGCCTTCTGGCCCTTTTAAAATACCCATATTTATTGTGCTCAACCTTCAGGAGATACACTTTGGCCCCTGATATAGCAATTACAGTCTACCACAGAAAGTACTGGGGACTTCTGACTTCACTTGACCGTGATGACTTTGAACCTTAAATTCCAATGATAGTCTTTCAATATGTCCCAATATGTGACAATAATCAAGTAATAAGGCAAATTTAATTTAAAGTGTAGGCTGTACCTTTTCAATCACATAAATGTATTCATTAGGTCACCTCATTATAATGAAGATGTGCAAATAAAAACTCCAAAGAGGTTAGATGATTGGGATTCACAATATCAACTACTGAAATGTCGCAGTTTCTTTTGTTTCATTACTATGTCACATTGGAGTTGTGCTTTGCGAGAATTTCTTTTAGCAGCAGAAGGATGGGCTGATGTATAAACCATATGCAGTAACGCCAGTGTTATCCACAGGGGTTCTTATCAGCTGCCCAGAACAGGCCCCACACCAGTGTCTGCGGGTGTCAACCCCGCTGCTCTGCGGCGAAGATTTGTAGTAACAGTCACACAGTGTGCTGCTTTATGTACAGCCAAATCTGTGTGAATGCGGTGCAGTCACGCTCTCGCCTCAGATTTGATAATTCCTCGGTTTTAACATATATTCCCAAGCCAAAGCATACTCTGTCATTGTGTATCACAGGCGGGCTCTCTTGCTGAAAGAATTATGAGCTGAAAGGCGACGATCAGAGCTCTCTTTTAGCAGGGAGAAAGTGTTGAGCGGGTCAGAAAGGCTGCACTCCAAACTCCCTCCCTCAGGCTTTATTAAGGACCCCCACTGCCACACACACAAATGCAGTCCGATCAAGCCACGGTGTAACAAGCCTGGATACCGGGATACCTGGCTTATTGTCAATAACACATAGGACGCTGTGACTCCCTGTCGGCGTTTCTCCATCCACCGTCTCTCCTCGTCGGATCGCCACTACTGTGTTTTTAATGGGGAGAGACACAATTAAACTTAAGTGCCGCAGCTGAGGCCAATTACACCTCCACCTGGCATAGGTCCCCAGAGAGCGACTCCCCCACCCTGTCCCCTCTGCAACCGAGCCGAACCACACCCCCGCCACCAAACATGCTATTGGCAATTACCCTAGAAAAGGTGGTCCAATGGTCCCAGCTCAGAGCCAGTTTATGGTGCCACTGGAGACTCCTTTGTCAGAGGTAATGGTTTAGGATAGCTAATTGCAATACGTTTTTCTTAATGCACTTCTCTGGCTAAGTAGTTGTTACAAAGTCCAACTGTTGTAATGTGTCTCGTTGTACTATGTCTTTTCTTTTTTGTCACGTCCTTTTAAGACTAGCAGGACTGGCAATTGGATGAGACTTTCCGGGATTGTTTCATTTTTTAAGTACACCACGGGGATTTGTTGGGTTGGAGGTGGATTAGAGCCGAGCATCATGAGTTGGTACCATTGCTCTGTAAAGGCACTAAAATGGATTTCGTAACGTATAGCTGGCACAGCTGAAAGCTTCTCCGTGTCTTTCTACTTCTTCCTTTCCTGCCCTAATTCAGAGCTCGTGGCTATTTCCATTGCACAGTCTAACCAATAAAAATACCAGTTGCTTTTAGCCTGTGCGCCTCCAAGAGACGTTCAATCATCACAGCTTTACTAACTTTCAGATCTGCCAGACAACACAATGGACCCACCAAACCAAGCCACGCTTCTGAGTTGAACCGGGTTATTTTTCACAACTCTGCTTTTTACACCAAGCGGAGTAGTGTGAGTGGACAGGCCGGCTGTCTTTGCTCCACCGCCGTTAGAATCTTGAGCTGTCTGTGTGTACATTGGAGGTGGCTGAGCAGATACAGGGGCAGGTCGTGGTGTATCACAGACTGTGTTCCTTGGAGTGAAGAGGCTTGGAGAGCCGCGGAGACGTCTGTCATCGCCGTTCTCTCTCTGGGAGATGCTGATTGACAGGAACACCCCCTCTGCTTCACCTGGCTCTCTCCACTGGCGCGCGGAGGAGCCTCCAGGTGGAAACCCCCCCCCCCTCCACCACGGAGACAGTTGGGAAGAACATGGCAGGTCTGGCCTTTTCCATGAACTCCTGCCATCCGCAGCTCCACACGACATGGCTGGGTGGCAGCGAGCAAGCCAGAGCTCCCATGTCAGCAGAACCCCGGTGCCTAGAGAACAGGTCAGAGCTGTTCGACTCCGCTTGGAGCCGAAGGATGGAAAAGTGGGGCTTGTTTTCCCCTTCGCACTGCCAGGCCTTTTTTTTTACGACATGGACACTCCTGCTGTGCAACGTCGGTTCTGGTTAGCTCTCCGGAGGAGGCTGATGAGCGCGGTCTCGCAACCCGCCCTCCGCCTCAGATAACGCAAGAAACCCACCTCCCCACACGAGAGATCCGTCCTCACAAAACGATTTAGCGCCCTTTCTTTACGCGGCAAATATCCGTGTAAATATATAGAGTCGTTTCACATGGTGCGGTCGGGTTTCGGAGTAACAGAAGTTGACTGAGGCTCACTTGAGGCTTTGCTTCTCCGTGATAAAATCGGCAGGGTTCTCCATCCAGACCACAACTGAGGGACATCTTTTGCCAAGTATGCACGATTTGAGCACAAGTGACACTCTTTGACTCATTTTGCAACTTCAAATGAACTTGACATGCAAACCACATAAATTTCAAGTGTAAAGTCAAGAAAAAAAAAAAAGAGAGGCGTGACAGCGGGTAATGGTTGAACTGCCGCAGGGCTGAGGACATCTCTATAAATTGCGCGGCCTATGGCACTTTACCCACAGCTCTATTTGAAATACCCCTCAGAGCTTAGACACAAGGCTTTTCCTCTCGCCTTCATGATGTAACCCGGGGGGCCAGAACCAGCCCCGGAGATAATGATGATAATGCGTTTAAGTCCCAGGAACACCGGGCCTTCAACGTGATCTGATGACCTCATTATTTCTCATTAGTCTCCCCGAGGCACCTCGACGAAGATTTTAAAGGTGGTCCAGAGGTTAATCCCGCTGGGAGAATGAACCCGCGCCGCTGTATCGCTTTCTGAAGCTGCTGGATGAGCTGCCTCGTTTGGCCCATTGGTCAGTGTGGGAGATTCTCTCGTGTCACAGATAGCCATTTGCCAGATAACCCGACAGAAGGATAAATTTCTGTCATAGTGATCCCTTCCTACCGACCTCGCTCCCCAATGACCCCTGACCCTGCAGCTTTGCCTCCCTGCATTCTGACTCCCATGGAGCTGCATTGATGTGTCCTCCACCTCATCAATCTCTCAGAGGGACATTATTACTTATCTTCTATTTAGAAAACAACCTTTCCTGGCGTTTGCACCCTTTCTGAAACAAACAGTCGTGTTTTAATTAAAATCCCTTGTCAAGTGCTACTGCCACAGCAAGAACACACAGCTGTGTTGCTGCTATTCACTGTTAATGAATGAGGATTGCACAACAACCCCAATGCTTGAGACTGCTGCCAGCTGTTCTCGTTCGCCCTTTTTGTCTTTTTATTTTGTTTTGTTTTGGAGCTAAAAGTCAGGTGATGACAGGTCTGGGACATGTGAAGGGTAAAACACAGAATTAGGCTATTCCAGTTGGCCTCGTGATTTATTAGCCTCCTTCTTGTATTGGGTTTAGTTTTTATTAAAACATGAGCCCGACTGATTCAGAGCTAAAACAAAAAAGACAACAAAAGGCATTTATGCCTTTCTGGGAGTCACCCATTCCACACTGGTGTCTCCACACAGCAATGCATAACTCCAGATCAAAGACATGTTGCGAAAATAAACAGCAGAATAAATACCCAGAGGAGAAAAATAATATCAGATGATTCATTTAATAACGGGATATGAGAACACAGGAAATTGTTACAGTATTAGTCATATTATGTAAATTTTTCTTAATTTGGAGTGCAGCTTCTTTGCTGCGTCGGTTTGTATCTCAAGTCATATCTGATTGGTATGTTTGTGTGCTATATATGCGAGTCTGTGTCTGTGGTTTGTTTAGGCTATTTGGCAAAGCGTGAGACCAGAGTGAGTGGGCAGAGGCCATACTTCAGGGTTCAAAGTAAAGCAGGGAGGGACCCCCTCGTTTTGGAAGAATGTTGAGGAGGAGGCTGATGGTTAGCTGAGATGTTGTAATTAAGGGGTGTGATTGTGAATACCTTCCCTTCCCCGGGCCCTGCAAGGGTCACAGATAAAAAAGAGCAGCCCTCAGCCTCCATCACGCTCACATGTGTTAAAGCACGCACCCGCTAATACATGTCTCGCCCCCCCCCCCACCCCCACCCACGCCACAACACAATCAGCAGGGCAGATTACACCTTACCTGGGGGGCAACCTCGTAAGCGGTGGGATCGTCGCTCCCTGACATTAGAAGCCCAGTGGACCCACGTAGAGCCTCTGAGGAACGCCATAAATTAGCCAGCACCAGGAGGCTCCTTCTAATCATGTGGGCCTGTGCGTGGCCCTGTTGGTGCGGCTGTTGTAATTTGGCCCCTTCCCGAACTGCTATTATAGTCAGAGCTCGATGACACATTGCCGCGTCTTTCCCTTTGTGAGCACGGCGCTGTGTGTCACGCGCGACAGCAGGGCGTGGCTGGGAGGGTAAGTGCGCTGTCGCGTTTGCTGACAAAAAGCATCAGCATCGGTTTGGCCGGGCTCCCCTGTTTCCTGACCCACCTTCCCCCTTTCATGCCGCGGCCAGAACTTCCACACAGCTGGCCGGCATTGTCAACACGAGCCATCGTTCACCCTTTAATGGAAACAGGACATCTCAGTAATCCTCAGTAATGCAGACACAGATTGCAGCAGTGTGGCGTGATAGCGTAGCATATTTAGGACACTACTCAGGGCTCTAATGGGACGTTGTAACGCGGCCGTTAACTGGGTGTTGCCGCAAATTGTTGAAAGAGGTCATTGTCAACAATTTGACAAAACAAAAATATAATATCTTTTAGGCGAAACATGTTCCCCGAAACGCATTGAAACCCACAGAGACATGATTCTGGGGGAATTGTGTTTTTTCTTTTTTTTTAGGAGAAAAAAAAACATAATCCTTTCAAAAAAAACCTCACCCAAACCCCTCAGCATTCAATCAACTCCAGATGAGAGGGTCGGTCGGACCTTGATGACTCTCTTCTTCTTTCTCCTCTTCTTCCTCCAGGGTGCAGGATAGAGAACTGCGAGTCCTGCTTCAGCAAAGACTTCTGCACCAAATGCAAGTCAGGCTTTTACCTGCACAAAGGGCGCTGCTTTGATAAGTGCCCCGAGGGCTTTGCCCCGCTGGAGGACACCATGGAGTGTGGAGGTACGTGAGACAACACAAATATGTAAAACAAAAAGTGTGAGGAAAGTAAACAGACTTATTTTACGTATCTTACTTTATCTGCACACTTTACTCCAGAATCTCTCAACTGAACTGGGACCACACACAAAGATTTTCTAACTTGCAGGCAAAGCTCGGTCGCCTCCGTATTAAAGCTTGACCCGGGAACTTTGTGTTGCCTCTGAATTGAACTCTGCTGTGGTTTCACGGCGCGTCACTGTCTCCGTGTGTCTCTGCAGAGGGCTGTGAGGTGGGCCAGTGGAGCGAGTGGGGAGCCTGCAACAGGAGAAACAAAACCTGTGGCTACAAGTGGGGTCTCGAGACCCGGACACGGCACATTGTAAAGAAACCACCCAAGGACACAATACCCTGTCCTACCATTGCTGAGTCGAGGATGTGCAAAATGGCCATTAGGCACTGCAGGAGAGGTAAGGATGTTATACGGCCATATGTCGATGTGTGTGAGAAAGATACCGTCCATTTCAGAGTTTACACTACCCTGGTGGATATTAAAGAAAACAGCCAACGTCTCCCGCAGGAGAGCTCTCCCCCCCCTCTTTGAGTCCCACCTGTTTCATGTATCCTTCGTACCTTCCACTCAGCCTTGTTTTTTCACCGTCTGTGTTTTTTTTTTTGAGGTGCGCGGTAGTGTTTCTGTGTGTGAAATATCTGGATTTTTCCATGGCGTCCTTGTTCAAAACAGGTCTTTCTCTGAGGTATATTTTTCCTCCCACTCTCCCATCTCCATTCCCCTCCTCAGTGGAATTCTTCAAAGTATGACCTGCAGGTTCCCTCAATGGTCTCTGTTTCCTCCCGTCGGCTCGAGAGATATTTGCGGTGCACACAGCATGTATGTCAGGCCATTAAATGGGAAGTCAATTCTGGAATTTCTCTCAGTGTGAATACAGCAAAGGGAAATGTTTTTTTTCTAAAATGTAAACCATTTCTTTTAGTCGGTCCAAACACACCATTTGAGGTGATGGCCTCCGTTAGTAGTGCTTTTAAAACAAATGTATTTCCCTTAATGCACTTTTACTTCTCCCATAAACTTCGGATTAGAACAGTGTAAATATTTAATTCACCATATAAGGAACTAATTACAGTGGCAGATATCACTTAGGGTTTAAAAAAAAGAAAACTATTCGAAGCCTAATGATTTTTCTCCATTTTTGGCCTTGAGTGTTGGAGTGGTGAAAGTGTAAATAAACTTGTAATAAACGCTGAATTTTCTGGTATTACAACACCGCCGTGGCAGTCGCTGTGTGGTGGAAACTCTGATTCCATGGCTTCCAATAGCCTGTCCTGTTTGTCAGGGAAAATCCCCCCAACACCCGAGCACCTCTTCATGACTTCGCCGTGCCTCCTTGACCTTTTCCAAGAAACTTTATGACCTTCTCTAATTAACATTTGGAAATTGCATAGCAGAACCATTTTTCTTCAGCCAACAGTCGACTCCCCACGTCCAACTAACTTAAAGCTACTGTTCATGGCAAACCGTCTGAGTGACCTTCCACCCTGTGGAAGATCAGCGGCCCCTGTGGTGTGGTAAAAACCATGTGTAAACGTGTCACTGTGTGTGCATCTTAGGACTCCCCGGGCTCGTGAAGTGCTGCGGTGGCCCGTTTAATAAAGGTACATTTCAGACTTGGGCATGTGTTGTTAATTCCCAACCACTCGACCGCCAGTGAAAAAATTCCCACTTGGCAAAAGCCAGTGAAATGCAACACTCTTCAGTTCAAATAAATACAACGTAGAAATGCAAGCTGCTTAAGTCGAACGGGATCCAGCGCCGTCGCATGGGACCTCGACCGACTGACACAGTTAAATAATCACTACCCGTTTGTGATAATAAAGCATAGTCCTATGGGAGGAGAGACCGCCCTCTGAAATGCAGGTGATCAGGACTTGGAGGTTCAAAAAAGGGCCGCAATTTGGCTGAGGTCATCGTGAAGTACCTTGTTATGTGACCTTTTAAAACGAACGCAATTTTCAAGCTATAGATACGTAGTACTTCTTGAAATAACAGGATATGCGGTGCAGCGTGGTAAATTGAGTCTTCAAATCAAAAACTGTAACCTCAACGTATGGAATTTATAGGGAATGTTATAAAAAGAAAGTGCCTGTAATGATTACTACATTTTCTCTGCTCCTGTCGCTGGACACCAGACACCAAGGTTTAGGATGAACATGGGATTATATAACTTCAGACCGTAAAGGTGCTGGGGATGAAATGAGGACAGGAAGTAGTAGGACTCAGCACATAGGCATATACTATTTAAAGCAGCAGTTATCTGATCACACGGGCCTGCATTTTTACATATCTACGAATTTAAACTACACTGGACATCAGGACAGATCCTTGTCACCCAGTTTAGGAAAATGTGTGAACGGCAGAGACCTAATCCCTGTATGTAAAACACACAAGCAGGGTAAAGCCCAGATGATGTCACAAGGCGAGGTCTTCACGGCAAACATGGCGCGTTGTGTAAACCGTGTCTGATGTGTTCCATCCAAGTTGCTGATCAGTGTAAACACTGTATATCATTCGCACTGCTGGGATTCATTTTCTGTTCTCGTTTGACATTTGGCAGGACAGCGTTGTCCCGATAACACACTGTGTCCCTAAAATAACTGCGGGGAGCACCTGGACACCATAAGTATTTATCACAAGCGCTATTTCCATCCAGCTGTCAAGCTGATTTTAAGCAAACTTTTGAAGATTGGCAAATATCTGGGAATTGGTTACGTTTCCAGCAGCTCCAATGGATGGATCTGCATCTGAATCCGTAAGGACCCTTTTATAGCTGACCTCATCAAAAATATGCCAATGGACATGCGTTTTGTCCAAGCCGTCCAGACGAGTTGGCTTTAAACACAGAAATAAAACTGTTAAAGGCATCAAAATGTCTGGTTCTTATTTAAATATTCATATCAATATTCCACCTCAAGTCCTCCAGAATTGTGACTCAGATCACAACCATTTCAGAGCAACCAGTGTTTCAGTTTAACAAGTGACCGCGTTCCAGCCAAACGCGTCCATGGTTGCTCGCCGTGATTCATGTAAATTGTCGGCAGAGATAATAAACTTGACTTGACTTGACAGAATTGACTGAAGGCTTGTAAGAGGGCACACTTATTGCACAATGACGCACTTCTGTTTTCCAAACTGCGCGTCCTCCCAAACATACGTCATCATGGTCTCGAATCTCAATAGTTTGACCTGCTTTTTTGTTTTTTTTGACAGAACAGCGTCTATTTTTCTGCAAGAAAAGTTGTTCAAGTTGCTTCATCACGTTTCTTCCGCAAACATCAACTGAATACCAAACCCGAGCAGTGTTGATGAAAATCTTCAAGTCAAACTTTAGTCAAACTCAGCCAGCTGATTCATTTGGATTTGACATAATACTTCAATGGAAGATGCGCGAGACAATCTCCAGAGGAGTCAGTCTCGTCTCGTGGCCGCTTGGCTTGCGCTTGTATTGTACCCTTGAGACGGTAAAACACTCTTCTATCCTCCGCATCCCCGGAGTGGTGCTCTGGACAGCCTATAAACAATAAAGAGACTTTATTAATAGCTGCTCCGGAGCTATCAACATTGACAGACTGGGCTCCCCCACCCCTTCGACCCTTCCTCCCCGTCTTGTGAGCCGATGGGAGGAGGGGAGAGGAAAGGTGAGGAGAGTGATAACACAGCAGCAGCGCTCGGCTGTTCCACATCGATGCCATTATGGACCTCCCTGCAGAGATTTCCCAGAAGCCCCCGTCACCGGATTCACTGGTTGACAAACCGCCATGTGTGCGACCGCTCTGATTGCTCTTTCTCTACGGACCCCGTCACCAGTCAGTCCATCTGGTTATTTTCCGTTCCCGCTCTACTATGAGCTGTGCACAATAGCTGATTCTGCCATGGCAGTGCCATTAAATATTATGTAAACAACTTTAAAATGTTAAAACTCTCCAAACACCCACTCTTAATGCAATCCCTGACCCAAGCGGGACCAAAGTCCAACGCAACGCACTAATGCAACTCAGGTAGATTTCTGACCGTTTTGCAAATCGCCTTTCAAATTCTCAGATGACGTAAAAGTCTCTGTGGTAGCAGGCCGGAGTTGCATTTGTGCAGCACTGCTTGCTTGACTTTTAGGTGCAAGTAGAGCCGATTCGAGGGGTATTTGTAGCGCAGGAGGCAGCCAAGCGCAGTTAGCCCAAAACAAGAACAGAAGTTTTACAATATGAAGTTATGGAACAGTAAACATTTATAGTTCTCCAAATGTCAGAGTTGATAAGAGAAACACAACTAAGACCTGGTCTTCCAGAACAATGCAGTTTACTTGAGTGAAAAAGGGGAGCACAATGAAGAAGAATAAGAAAGCAGGAGCAGATACTGATTGTATTAAGCCATTGAATCATGTACCTGTTCTTCGAGAGCTAACGGCCTTCGTTGGAGTCTTGATCTCCTGTGTGTGTAACCAGAGAAACCATTTGCTGTAGGGCTCATCTGAGGCCAATCCTTCCATCCCATCAGTCATCTGAGTGCTCCGATCCAGCCACCGCTAATACGGCCTGTCAGAACTTCTGTGTGCAGTTTGTGTTTACACTGTAACTGTAATAACTGCCTCTTGTGTAGCAATGATAGCCCAGTCGATTCTTTCCGCCATCAATTTGAAACCGTGGATAAGCAAGTTTTCTTACACGTAGTGCGGGACTGGCTTGTGGAGGAAGAAAGTCCTGACTGGACTCAGTGTACCACCTCATCACTCCTCCGCAGTGTGACATCTCAAGGGTCTTTGTCTATATTTAAGGCCTTGGACGCGACATGGAGGCGGGCCGTTGTTTGATTCACACCACAAGCACCTACAGTCTGGAACAGGGGACCAAAGCCAACCCAGATCCGCCACAGGATCTACCAGACCCCAGGAGGATTTGTTTGACTGGTGGGACTCACGCCAGGTTCTGTCTGAAGCCAGTGTGGTTCTGTGGTGAATCTGCAGTGTCGTGAATCTGCAGTGTCGTGGACCTCCTGGTCCTCCCCGTCTGCGAACCATCTGCTCCAAAGCCTCTCCTCTTGTAAAAACGATAGCGGATAACGGAGCAACGATGATTGCCTCAAATCTGTTGAGGAGGAAGCTCAACCGCCTTGTCTGTTGCGCACAGTACCAAACAATTCCAGCTTCTGGCAGTCTTCGTGTACGAGCAGGTGGTTATGGCGCGTCCATGCCTACGCGCGCGTTACACAGTTTTGGGTGTTTATACTCGCCGTGCCCACGGGTTTCAGCTCTGGCAAAAATTCCGCTCACTTCCGAACGTTTAAGTTTCACAGCCAGTGTGATCGCGTCTCAGTCTGGCCAGTGTCTGGCCTGGAAACCTCACATCCAAACACATTTCTGGATGTGTTTTTGTCCAACTGTTTCCTTCTATTGGGCCAAAT